TTCATGGATTTAAGTGTTAATCTGGTTAGAGCCAGTATCAGCCTGAGGACCGGTTCAGTACTAAAGATGCAGCTAAGACAGGAATTACCTTACCAGCTGTGGAGAGATCACAGAACCCAAATCTTTTCCAGCTTGCTGGTTCCAAACATATGGCCAAACGTATACAGGGAAATTTATTTGTCCATCTTCTTTTCTTGGTCAATGAGATCACTGAGGTGCAATGTGACAGTGCAAATGCTGTATGTCCCACTTGCAGCCAAAAGACTGCACCAAATTGTCCCATTTCTGACAGTGAATAACCAGTAGCTGATGTCTGGGAAAACAGTTGGCAGGGCAGAAACAGGAGGTGGGCAAGTACGGGGTGGTCGTCTCCCAATTTTCAGTAATTTGATGTTTAGGAATTTCCTCATTCAGAAATTTTACACATATCATAATATTAATAGCCATGCATGGACTCTAGCTTCCTCATAATTTTTTTTTCTAATTGAATATATTAAAAGACTCTGTTTATAGTTCCAACCTCTTAACAGTTCCACAGTTAAATTATGTGTGGTGTGAAAATATAGTTTCTCCTCTGCAGAACCAGCACCAGGCTCATGCTACACCCATGCACCCTGAAGACATGTTGTGTCTCTCCAGAGAGTCAAGGGAGCAGGAAGCATACAAGAGCACTGGTGCAGCCAAAAGCATCTTATTCAAATGATGCTAAGTGAGAAGACCCACCTGCAGATAAAACCAGCATGGCCACAGCACCTATGCTTGTTTGTCAGCTTTCTGAGATGTGTTTCTCTGTGCCTGGCGATCCTACTTTGTACATTGCTGACTGAGCAGTGCCTGCAGAACAGAGTCAGTAATTCTCTGGCAGGCTAAATTTCCAGATGTAAGAGGGCCTGGTAAGGAAAAGGGACAATTGAGTGCTTTGATTGCCAGCACCTCCATCTCCCAGCTCTGACCTGGTACACCATTATGTAGCAGAGAAGCACGGTGGAGCAGAGGTTCACATAGCACACACAGATCCATTTTCTGTCTGTGTCAGGCAGTTACTAATCCAGTTTGTGAGTATGTCTGATGGGTTGACCCCGCTGTGTTCTGGCACCATGTAAAACTGCATTCGCAAGGACCCTCTTTCATCTGTTTGCCATCCCTGAGGCGTAAAATTCTGTGGGAATCCATTGAGTCACAGTGGACTTTGCTTTTTGAGAAGCACTGTTACTTCTATCACTTTTAGGAGGAAATAGCCAGCTAAGTTTCTTCTGGCATTACCTATCAAAAACTAATTCTTTACCACTGGCATCTGACAGAATATATCTACCTCCTGATTAGACGCCAAATTAAAAAACTTCCTGGATGGGATAAGAACAGCGAGTTGTTTCTAATGGTGGATTTGGGTGGTTTGACAGAATACACGGAACACTTGGGGAGCGCTTGAGGGCAGCTACTGCAAAGAAAGTGGGGGAGTACTTTTTGGCAGTGGCCTAAGGACGAGGACAAAGTTCTTTTGACCCAGTAAACTGTGTGTTCAGGGTATTTTGCATGTCTAGGTAGATAAACTGTTGTATGGGACTAGGTATCTTCTGACAAGGTATCCAATGGGAAGAGTCTTAGCTTTTTCTTATATGCATTTAAGGACTCATACTGTGCATACCTGACAGCACCTCCTACAAAGTAATGGGCTGTGATAATTTTAGGCCAGGCTTCGATGCTTTCTTTGAGGAAGGGATGTCTGAGGTCATTAAAGACCAAAGGCATGCTACAGACCTCACCAGCTGCTGGGCTTCCTACTGCAAAAAGTAATTCAAGCCAAATATGTCTACTCTTTAGGCAGTCAGCTTCAGGACCCGTATAGGTTAGTTTGTACTGAAATTCTAGGGAGTTAAAGTCCATACAAGTTCATGTAGGTGTATAGACTTAAATTTTTAAGACATTTATGCCTTTATAACACAAAGAGGCTCACAAAACAGCGTCATTCCTTTTGCTCAGTCTGGCGTCTGTTTCCTGAGGGACAGTGAAACAGCTCTGAGGCTAATAGAGCCACTACCCCTGTAATAGCAGAACTGCTTGAACTTCGTATCTGATCAGTCTGATTCAGTATTTCTCACTTCAGTATCTTTTAATTCCTTATCTGTTTATTTGCACATACAACTTAATAGTTCCTGTAATAACAACAGTATATTGTCTATCAAATGGTCTACAGTATTCCTACTTATGTTCTCTTTTGCACAAAAGAGTAGGTTTGAGGCTGCAGTAAGTTTAGAGTTGTAGGCTTGTTAGAAAGCCAAGGATAGCAGGAATTTATTTTAGAAACAGTTCATACGTATGGTTTCTAATTTAAGTTTTATTGTTTGAAAAGTATAGTATCCGATCATATCTAATGAAATAGCAATTTGACACATATTGCAACATAGTTTCATAAGAAAGTTTAAAAGTAACATGGCATACCACTGCTACAGGTGTCCATTGTTTCTTGAAGGCTGCCTAAAGTTGATGTTAAATGTCCTTGTATGTCAGTAGGATGTACACAGGCTTGGTACCATGTAAAACTGAGCTGGTTGTCCTAGGGAATGAAATACTTGGGTAGTTGCATTTGAAAATTTTGCCCAAAATGCGCAATTCTGCATATCATATGTAACTGTAGACTATTAAAATAGTGGGCTTTCCCCAGAAAAGTTTAAGATGACATTAAGCAGAAAGGGGCGGTAGAAAAAAAGACTGGGGAGACCTTCCTAATTCTATTGCAGGTCTGATGTGACATGAAGTAGAAGAAATTACAAGTATTTGAGGTAAACCACTTGTCCTTTTCACAGTAAAATAATAAGTGAGAACTTGTGATTTATTTGGCACATGTAAGGTAGAAGAGGCTGTAAGAGAGAAATAAGGGCTGGGTGTGCTCTCCCAAAACAATAGCCTCTCCCCCTATTGTCTGAAAAATCTGGTGTGAAAGTGAATTCCTTATCTGTGCATTTTCTTCTTCCCTAGACTGTGGGAACCCCTGGTTTTTTAGTCTTTCTACTATAAATGGTTGCTGCAGTTTCAAAGCTAAGTGTGTGTGTTTACAGGGAGATGAGATGCCTGTAGGATGGAAGAGAATTAGTGCTATATTAGTGGAAAACTGAAGAGAAGAATATGAGAGGGCTGTGGGTGAGGTAAGTATAAGAGGTCGAGCACACAATGTTAAATTGTAGAACTGGGTCTAGTCATTGGGTACCCTATACTGGTGTCTTCTGACAAATTCCAGTGATATTTCCTGAATAATTTATTTAAACAATGAGACTTTGCAGTGCCTGTTCAGCTCTGCTGTTAGTTATGCATCATTCAGTGAATGTGCTGCTGTAAGCCTGCTAGAGAGGAACGTAAGTCAGTACAAGGGAAAATTATAAATCTTTTTCTTCTTCTTTTTCTTCCAGGAGTTGTCAGTTCAGCATAGCAAGGAGAGATGGTAATGGGCAGGTTTAAGATCCCAAAGAGCACAACCAAGTGCAGCTGCCCCAAAGACTTTGACAGAGTTGCTTGCACACTGCTGGCTCTTTGTATTTAGGAGGAAAGGGATTCCTGGCTATAGTGTAGCTAAGAGCATGTTTGTTACTGAATAGACAAACTAACTGCCTGATAAGCAATTTTATTATAAATTTCATACCTAAATAATGAGCATACAGGATACTGAGCTACAAAAGCATATGCTAATAAAAAAATGGAGCTGGGACAAAGCCACAGCTTTGACTGAGAAGCAGAGCACCTCCAGGAGGAATGAGATTCTACCATCTTTGTGGGATGCCTGCTGTGTCTCCACTGAGCGGGCAGTGCCTCAAAGACCACAGGAAGTTCTTGCTATGCCTCCTTTCCTTTGCACCATCCCATATGTGGGCAAGTGAAGAGGAGACAAGGCACAGCAGCTACCAACTCGCCTGTGAAGGGGGCTTCCTACATCGGTGTGAAGCACTAAGCTGCTGTTCACACAAAGAAGATACCAATGATGTGCTGCAAAGAGACTGTACCTACGGTTCTGTAGGACTTGGATCAAGGCTTTTTGGTTAGTTACTGAGGAGCAAGAGACAGCTAGACACTATTTAACATTATTTGTTTTGAGTAACACTTTCTGCTTACTGACAGAGTTGGCATGGAAACTGAATCAGCACTCATTTTTTAAAAGGGTAGTCCATTCAGAGTGAGGTTAGTCATCAGCAGGCAAACCAAAGAGACTCAGGCTGCAGCTGCTAACACTTATACCTTGCTGATGAATAGGCAGAATATTCAATATGGTAGCAGTCATATTACCCTAACTTTTATGAGAAAAAATGTACATCTGTTGAGAATTATATTTTGTGATTTGCATTTGGGTGTTCATATTTTCAAGTGGGGAGAGTTATTTATCTAAAATCCACAACAGAACTTTTATGTTTCTAGAAGGTGCCTTATGTTTTCATGGATCAGTTGAATTTAAAGAGTTAACAGAGTTCATACAAACAGTGCTGCTTGTAACATTGTGGTGGAAAATGGCATAATACTTATAAGACTAAAAGCTTAACACTATGCATCTGTGAATGTATAGCCTAAATGGAAGCCTACACAGCGTGAAGAAAACAGCATTTTTGATTACTTTGACTTTATTGATGAAAAAAAATCAAGATGTGTTCGTTTCCATGCTATTTCCCCCCCCCACACACACAAGGACAGAAGCACAGAATCGGCTGCTGGTTTTCTGCTCGAACTAGGCTGAGAAAATATTGATGGCTAAATTGCTGTTCAGTGGCATTTTGTAAAGTGCCTGCTGGCATCCTGTTCTCAGATACAGAATGATAAATGTATATTTAAATTTGACAAGTTTAATTTCATCTATAACCTTTGACTCCTGGCTTTTTGTATCCTCAGGATAGAGACCATAAATGCCTTCTTCATTGATAAAGGATCTTGTTTACTTCACAGTAACTATTTACATTCAAGGCTATAATGCTGTTACCACATTGAGAAGACTGATTTCTCTTTTCTTTGTGTTTACCAAGCAGATAATCTAAGTGATGCCCTGAAAAAGCTGAAGATAACAACCACTGACAGCACAGCAGATAGCTTGGAGGGATGCTTGGACTGTCTGCTTCAAGCTCTGGCACAAAATAGTAAGTTGTATGAACCTTTCAATTTTTAAATCATATAATCAGTGAATTAAAGTGGAGGTAATAAAATGTGGCAGAAAACTGACACACAAGCAGTAGGCTGCTGGTTTGGCTGTTCTGGATTTTATTGTGGGGTTTTTTTTAATCCATATATCTGTAACATTCAAGTAACAATGAAGACAGTGGCAGGTATTTGGAACAGCTGTAGTCCAGTCCTTTTTCCAATATGACGAAGTAGCATAATTGCTTTTCCAGTTGATCACTCAAGAAACAAAGAACAGGGATGAACAAAAAAGCCTGATATGTTGGGGGCAGAATATGGAAGCTGCTGGCGAATTCTGGTTAGAAGAGCATAGTTTCTTATTTGTCATGTATTTTTCCTCATACTTCTGATTAAATATTTCTTGCTTATCAGTAGTTTCAATTAGAAGAGGTAGGCTGGATATCCAAATTTGACATGTGTTATAATAACAAAAATAACTTAATAATGGAATGAGATGTCTTTTTCACCAAACACTGGAATGTATGTCCCCACTCACAGTAGGCGGAAAGGTGTATGGTAAATGAAGATAACAATTTATAAGACTTTTCCGAGTTTAACTTTCTTAGCACTTCAGTTGGTGGCAGAAGAAAAATCTCTGTAACATCTCAGGTTAAAAAACTTGTCAGGATAGATACAAGCTATGATTAGAAATTCTTGATTTAAAAAAAGTGTTAGTCCTTTGTAAATATCAGTACACACAAAAGTACATACTGTTAATAAGACTTGTTTCTTTCCCAGTGATATTCTATAAATCACAGCCTTTTGGCTTAGTTGGTGTAAAATACGTCATGAGATTTTTGCACAACAGAATATAAGCACCATCCACGTCAAATCAAATATGAATTATAAGAGTCTGTGTATTTAATGGTAGTGGGGTTTTAATTCTGGTAATTTTGCAAGGAGATGCCAGCCAGGAAATAATAAATATTTGCTTATTAAATCAGTCTTTTTTTTTTTTTTTAATTTTTTTGAAGATGCTGAATCATTTTTCTTATGGATTTATTTAAAAGGTGTATCTGATACTTTAATCCAGCTTCCAGTTGGATTTGATATCTCCGGTACTATTAAGTCAAAGAAATGCTTAAATGATAAGTGCTAAAAAGAAGATGGTATGAAAAGTGTCAAAATACTTAGCGTAAATAACAGAGTTTACCATTTTGCCTGTGAAGGTCACATAGCTGTGTCACAGAACAAGTTTGGCAGATGCAAAATAATTTTGACTAATGTACATCAAACTTACCAAAGTTTACTTGCAGCCAGATGACACTTCCATTTCAGTCTAGGGATTTGCTCTTTCTTCCAAAATCTTTTCTCTTCTAGTCTCATATCTGCCATATCAGATAAACAGTTTGTTACAATTTTGACCTCTCTCTTTCGGGTAGTTTTGCAAAATATAGCTAGAATCCTTACATCATTTACCGTGTTCTTTGCATGTAAGTTAGTAACATGAGTATACGCCTGCTGAGCTGCCATATGATATACATCTCCACGTACTTTCAGTTGCCAAAGATGGGGGCAACTAAAATAACTTGCTGAAAATTAGATGGGTTAGATGAGACAGCTCCTTTAACAGCTTGCTGGTGATTTAGGAACCTGTATATCAATTCCCTTTCAAGTGAATTAGAAGCGTCAATACCTGAGTTTTGCTGAGTCTCTTTGGACAACAGGCTTTAGTTCTCAAGACAGTCTGAAGATTTTTGGGGAAAAAAAATCCTCATAGAATAGAGATTTCTGGTTTGGAATAAAATTGTGAGAACAGCAGTAAATTCAAAAGACTTCAGAGATTAATAGATAAATCCAAGAAACAATATAGAATCAGCTTTCTGAACACTACAGTCTCTGAGCTATTATTGGGCTAGAAATATATTATGACTGTCCTTACTTTGACCAACCAACCAATGGATGTCCTTTCTCACAGTTCTTGTCTGTCATTTAACATCTTAATATGAATTTTATTTGATTGACTTTTAGTTACAGTATATGGTAAATATATATATGTTAACATATAAATGTTAATATACATATTAACATACATATGTGTTAACATATGTAAATATATATATGTTAACATATAGATATACAATAGACACTGTACCTGTGCTGTGTATAAATTATTTTACAATAATAATTACAAATCAGATTGTTCATGTAAATCTACATGTTAATTGTAATGCAGAAATAACTTAAACAAGATTTCTCAAAAAATTCTGTTCTCCTTTAGTATATTCCCATGTGTATTATTATAGTAATAAAGTATTCATTCTGATTACAGTTCAGTAAATCATACAGAGTAACACTAGAAAAATAAGCCATGCAAGAAACAGAGTTTATTTTAAAAGAATTCTATAGCACTATGATTTCATTGTGACTTCGTGGTGGTATCTTTAAGTTAAAGAACTTAAAGTTTTATTCACTTCATTAAGACTTGGCTGTAAAAGTATAATTCTATCTCATATAAAATTTAGTATATTACAATAGATTAATGCAACCCACTCCCTTTTATTGCAAGCCAAAACCAGCAGTTAAACCCAGTGTTAACACAACACTGAGATTTTTTTAAAAAGGAAATAATTACCACAACTTCAATTTGGGCATATTGCATGTATATGTGAATATTTCAGAGACCATTACACTGCTTTTAATTGATAACTGCAGCATAGTGTTGTGGTTGCTGCAGAAACAGAAGTTAAATTCCTTAGTCTGTAACAATACAGTGCCAGTTGTAGTTCCATTTACTTTGCATACAATCTTTTAACTATTCATTGCATTAAAGCACTACAAATCTCTTCTCTTATTGTCTACCATATAGAAAGAAATGGCAAAGTTATGATGAATATTGTAGTTTTCATTTCTTTTTCTTTTGGTTTTTTTTTTCACACTCCTCCTGACAGCTGATCTTTTGATAATCCCAGGCTATAGTGCCTTGGAACATGGTACCTCCTGTCTGGTTTTACCAGCTATTCTGCCATTTGTCACATGAATCAAATTAAGGTGTATGCACACACATGCTATATTATGCAATGGTGAATCAAATAGTTTTTCTGAATGTGGTAACTGCTGGTAAATATTTGGCAAGCCAAATTCAAATGGCTTTAGCTACTGTTTGTCTAGGGCAATAGTTGTATAGCCCTTTGCATCTGAGACGCAGGTCTAAAAGTCCTGCACAGATGGTTTCTTTATGAGAAATTGTTTGGAAAGATCTATATTCCTGTTTATGCAGATATTTTAGTTCTTACCTGTCAGCAGCACTTCTGGATGATGCCAGTCATATATGGCCTGTCCTGGGGCACTAGATAAAGTTGAGGAATCCTGGATGAAAGAGGCAACAATGACAGAGGAATAAGAGATAAGCATTCGTTAGGAGTGCTTTAGAATAATAAGAACATACCTTATTTTGTGTGGACTTCTTCCTCCATTCCCAGTGAAGTCAACTGGCCTGCAGTAGTGATAGTGACCGGCACCATGAGACATGCAGTAACGTTAGTCTAAATTCCCAGCTAATGTAAATCAACACTGCTCCTTTGACCTAATCTGCCTCATTCATGTAACCTGAGATTCTTTCCACCTTACTTCTGAAAGGAAAACATGATTGCTTGATCTCTCTCTCTCCTCACCAGTGTTCACTGTCTATATTGCTAAACTTTATGTAATTTAGATTTTTAAAGAAGGCAGTGGTGCATGATCCATAAGAAGTTGTCGTGGTTTAAACCCAGTCAGGTAATTCGTTCGCTCACTTCCCCCCCCTCCTTTCTTGCCCTCCCCCTGCTCTCGGAGGGACGGAGAGGAGAATCAAAAGAATGCAACTCCCACGGGTTGAGATAAGAACAGTTTAGTAACTACGGTATAACACAAATCACTACTGCTACCACCAATGATAATAATGATAAAGGAAATAACAAGGGAACAGAATACAACACCTCACTACCCGCTGACCGATAACTCGCCCCCCAGGCCCGACCAAGCTCCGACCGATACCTCCTCCAACCCTGCAGTCTCCCAGCCCTTCCGGCTCACTCCCAGTTACATCCTGGGCATGACGTGCTGTGGTATGGAATACCTCTTTGGTCAGTTTGGGTCAGGTGTCCTGTCTCTGCTTCCTCACAGCTTCCCCTCCTCCCTGGCAGAGCATGAGGCTCACAAAGTCCTTGGCCAAACCAAAACATCTCTATCAGCTCTGTTCCCGAGCCGAAAGTCAAAACACTGCACTGCACCAGCTACCAAGGAGGAGAAACATGACTGCTACTGCTGAACCCAGGACAGAAGTGTTGCAGCAATGAAATAGTCATTCACTGAATGAAATACTTGCTCCTACTGAATAAGGAAGTAAAGTTCATATATCATGTGTATTTTCTTTTTAAAGCTATATATTAAAAAAAAGTACTCCATTGTCTGCTCTGTGGAATTTGTATTCTTTTTATAGAGTTATGGTTTAATGTTTTATAGTCAAGAAAGAATTTTGCTGATCTGGAAGCAGACTTTTAGAGTAATATGGAGCATAGAATGATCATAATCAGAAAACAAAAAAACAATGAATTACTTTGTCAGAGAATATGATTCAGCATAAAAAAACCCTAACACTCTGAGACTAACTGTTCATTGCAAAATGCAACTTGAGGCTTTTTACAAACAGGGGTCGTTTTCTCCTCACCCTTAATGGGCTAGAGTAGTAAACAGCTTGTCTAGCTTTACACACATAATAACATCCATAAAGAAGAAAAGAATTGAAGTCTGCAGAAAAATCCATAGGAGGAAACGGGGGGAAATAGAGCTATGGTAGGTGAACCCAGATGCATTTTTCTCATAGAAATGCAGTTGTGTCACTTCCCTGTGCTCACTGGAGAAGTCTGAACAAGTTCTGGCCCCCTCGGCTTCAGGCTGCCCTCTGACCAACACACAGATGTTGCGTACTTGTCTGCAGCCCACAGCCATCTCACTCAAGGTCTTAGACACAGTTATGAAA